CACACTCAGCGACTTCTACAATCACTCTGCACGTGAGTCCTGGCAAACGCTCTGCAGCTCTCTTACCAGATTGACCAGTAGATGACTGTGTTAATAATGGCTACAAAAAGCAGAAGCTGCCTTCCAAAATTGGAACGGAAAGGTACAGTACTACAACGGTTTAAAAATATCATGGGCGTAAGTGTGAGAGCCGTATATCCCAGTGAATGTGCATTACTAGGTGCGATAGCTGCGATTTATTCTTCTGTAGCCTCTTCAATATAAATACATTTCTGCCGTTCTGCTCCAGTTCCGTGTTCCAAGAGAACTGGGCTTCAATACGGTTGGGGGTACTAAGTGTCGTGTTGCTCCAGTTCCGATGTATATCCCAGTTCTCCAATACAGTAATACCTCGCTACTAAGTGTCGTGTTGCTATGGTACACTGCCACCTTAGGGACAGAGCAAGCCATGACTTTACAAATCAAGATTGTCGGCTATCAACATCTTCGTGAGAGCCAAAAGCGAAAACGATCACCAGAAAACCCTAACTAGTGTACACTACTATCTCAAATGGAGACACTGAAGCTATACAGCATGTCAAAATTTGTCAAAATTTTGAGCTGAAATTCCTCCCGAGGAAGGAAGACGACGTACGGGAAGGAAAGAGCAGTCTTGACTGCTACGTTCCTGTCAGCGCTTTCCGTTCAGTTCACTTAAAGAGCAAACTTAAGACTTCGAAAAGCTCACAAAAGGACAAATAACTACCAGTTTCATACGCTCTCATCTATGCAGTCCCATTGGCTATCTACTTATCATCTATGCAGTCCCATTGGTTATCTACTTATCACTGTAAAAGTACAGATAACTACCTGGTGTACGCCGCATCGCTGTCTTATCTGTGCCCGTCTTTGCATCCTTCAGCCAGTGCTCTCTCTCTCTCTCTCTCTCTCTCTCTCTCTCTGTGTGTGTGTGTGTGTGTGTGTGTGTGTGTGTGTGTGTGTGTTCAGGAATGCGATCTACTTCTGCAGTTCTCTTCCCTCGTACACCCCACACCTTCTACCAGACCCCTCTTCTCTCTCGCTCTTGTGAGCAAATTCAGGATCAGATTGATGCTGAATAGCTGCAAGACAGCTTCCTTCCATTGAAGAACTGGCCCTTGATGCAATTCCGTGCGATGAGCCGACAGAGCTTTCCAAGAATGGAAACGCGGATGGAGACTGGGTAGCGGAGGGGACGCCCAGTCCTCATGAAGGTGGCACCCCAGTCCCTTCTCAATGGCTCCCAATTTCTGCCTCCTCGCCCACGAACATCCATTCTGATAACTCGCCCGCTTCCAGGAATACTCATAACAACAATGGCCATATATCCGTACCGATTCCCATTGAGGATGATGTTAAGAGTCCGGTATCTAGCACACGGCACTGCACGGAACCTGATGGGTGCCACACCCACCCTGGGGTTGCATATCACTGGGAAAACGTCACGGCCAAGATCCAGGTGAAGCTGCAACAAACAGAGGTCAAAACCAACACAACAAGTGTGGCAAAAGTTAGCACAAAAAACTTCAAAAAGTTAACTTGAAAAAAGAGAGGGAAAAGAAAAAGAAAAAAAAAAAAGCACCAGAAACCTGGCAGAGAGAAGAAAAGAAAATAGGATCGGGAACAACGCCTAACAGAGCAATGAAGAGCACCATAAGGACAAAAAAGCTACAGAAAAAAAAAAAAAAAAACAAGAAAAAAGTAAAACAAAAAAGTGGAAAAAAAAAAAAGGACAAAAGAGCTACAACCACTGCTGTGACAGACGGAGGACAAGCAAATGTGACCATGTGACCTGAAGATTGACTTAGTGGAAAGAGTGTCACCGTCACCAGAAGTGCTGGCTGAGCAACACCAGCAATAGCTTCAACAATTGGGTCAGATGCAGCTAACACAGCAGCTGAAGCAGACTTCGCACAAGGGGTGGGGGAGGCAACAGTAGCACCGTGGCAGCTCGTGATTACATAAAACACATCAGCTTAAGCGACAGAATAATCAGGAGGAAGAACAAGATGAGCAGGCCCAGCATATAGAAGCCAAGCAGATCCAGCATTTGGAATGCACAAGGGGTGGGAGTGCCAACAGTAGCACCTGCGGCAGCTCGTCATTACATAAAACACATCGGCTTAAGCGACAGAATAATCAGGAGGACGAACAAGTTGAGCAGGCCCAGCATATCGAAGCCGAGCAGATCCAGCATCTGGAAGACTTAAGGGCCAGATCCCACTGGCAAAGAGGAATGGAACAAGTGGCTGAATCTGCACGTGTTCCACACAGAGGTGCAGACAAGCAGATCAATCACAATTTTTTGCACCTCTCCACAAACACGTCCAGATTCAGAGGCGTATTCCAATCCTCTTTGCCAGTGGGATCTGCCCCTAAGCCTTAGGACGACGAGCAGGCAAGCATCATGATAAGAAAACATGCCGACCAGCAATAGCATCTACACGAAGGACAATAGCAAAGAAGAAGCACGTCAGAAGGATCAGCAGCATTGCCAGCAGCACTAGCAAGAGTAACACTGTAACAGTGGAGGTCGTGACATGTGGGATTCAGAATAGAAGCAAGAGTACCAAACAGATGGTGAAATTCATTCATGGCTGTACATCAGATGATCTCACGCTTGCGGCAGGTCGTGGATTGTCACTTTGAAGAATCCCTGGGAAGTGTGACCAACCATAAGCCAGATTTACCAAGAGCAGCGACCTTCCCACATAAGAGCATGTCGCTATGAGCACATTGTCATGCATGCAAGTCAAGAAATCCAGTTAATTCCTCCTTTCGCCAAAGTAGAAGCTCAGAGCTGAGTCTCTCTCTCTCTCTCTCTCTCTCTCTCTCTCTCTCTCTCTCTGTGTCTGTGTGTGTGTTGTTAAGACACCCCGAAGTGTGTGTGCGTGTGTGCTCGCCTGTGTGTGAGACTCAGTGAGAGACGGTGTGCACGTGTGCCCCTGTGTGTCTGTATTCATGTATGTGATACGTGTGCGGCGTGCGCTGATTCTATCTCTGCGTTTATTTGATGGACAGATTTTACATCAGTTCGGGCGGGTAAAGCACAGATGGAATTTCGAATAAACAGGCCCAAAAGCACATGGCAACTCCCAACCCAAAACCAGCTGGTGCGTCCGTGCGGGAATTGTTGTTGTACACTCCTACGAACACCCGCCAAGGAACCGCTTGCATGTTATCTCCTCACCTTCTTCCTCTTCTCTCTCTCTCTCTCTCTCCCCCTTTCTTCTCTCTCCTTCCGTCCTCCCACCTATCCCCTTCCTTTCTTTGCCGCTGATTCTTGCATTTGTCATACTATTGCCCACATTCCTGCATTGCCACTAGGCTTTTAGCCGCCTATTATTGGTTGGTCCAATCAGCAGTTGCATGCATTGTATGGAGAACAGAAAGGGCAAGAAACAACAGCAGCACAAGAATGCAGTTTGACAGACAGCGATATGTTGTTCCCTTTAGAAGTTACGGTTACCTAAGTAAGTAGACAAACAGGAGTGAAGTGGCCTTGACGTGCACGCTTGTGACTTGTGCTTACCTTGCCTCCCGCGCAAAAGGCCATATTGGGCGGTCTTGCCGGGCACAAGTCGGTGACTGTGACGCGTGCAACACCCCTCCTACAACCCGGATGACCAACGCATTTCACTTCAAGGCACATGCCACACGCCAGCCCGCCGAGATATATTCTAGGTGAGACGGCAGCGAAGTTCCTCCCAAAGATGGCACCTGTCAGACGGCCATAGCCACAAGCATTGCCTTGATCTCCCCCAGAGTAAAATGTGGCTTTTCCACTAAGCCAAGGGCCATACGCCGACGTGAAGGGGTTGCACACTCGACCGATCCACTTCCTCCACCGAGCATCGCTTACAGGAGCGCCCGAGCATAACAACATGCAGATTAAGACGACCGCCCTCAGCAACGAACTCAGTCTCAATGTCCTTATCTCCATGGCTGAAGGCAGTTCCACCTCAAGAATCACACAGAAAGAGAGTCTGAACGACTAAGTCCCTCCCTCCCTCACTTGAGGGTATGCTCCCGACTCCTGCAGAGATTCGACTGACCTAATAATGTAATAGCACTTGGCCAAAGCTAACTTGGGTGGGTGCTCTCAGAGTCCTCCTGACAGAGATTCGACCATCCTAATAGCACTCGACTAAAGCTACAGGACGAAGGCAATGATAGATGATCTGTAGTTGGCTATAGTTAGATAAGATCGACTACAGGCTAAGATACCAACGATACCAACAAAGTTACTGTACTCGAATGAGCTAAAAAGGGCAAGGGCAATAAATAGAACTAATGGCGCATCAAAGATCCGATGAGGCCTAGAGATCACATAAATTCGCTAAGATAAGTTAGAAAAAAAAAAAAAAAAAAAAAAGGACTTCCCTATTGCTTGGACGAACTACAGAGCAGAATAGACGAACTATTGGGGGATTGCAGATCTGACACGTAGGGGTATAGATAAACTATAGGGGGATGGCAGATCTGACACGGAAGCGGACATCTATGACACAACTATAAACAAAGCTACGGCCACGGATCTGCTGGGCTATAGAGTACTAAGATGAACAGTCTACTTGTTAAAGATATAGGATTGAACAAAACAGTAGACGGGTTGTTGCCCTCCAGATACGAGACGAGACACAGTTGAGATGAACTATAGAATCAGTATAGATCATGCACTTCTTCACGACATCTCAAACTTGTGGCCCTTCCAGACCGGACCGAGCACTAGAAACCTGAAGTGCGCAGCTCCAGTCCACGTTGTTCTGGGTAAGGGCCCTGCGTATCACACGAACAAAGTACACACGAGAGAATGCAAACGTCAGTTAGCAAGGGCGAGGCAAGTGCAGAGTGCGCTGGTGGTGGGTTCTGGTTCTGCACTCCACGTTGTTCGGGCTAAGGTCCCTCCACATCTACGTTACATACAGCACATCCGAAGATCGTCACCTCAGTCTATCAACAGAGTTCGCAACGTGCAAACAATCTCGCACATAGGAAGCACCCCTAGCGTGATACTAGTACACAAACAGAGCCAGAATCTGCAATGACAACAACTCACAAACTCAATTGATGCAATACATTCAGCACATCCAAAATCTGGTCCAAATTTTTGGCTCCTGGGGGTCCAGCTTTCTGAGAATGCCGGACCCCCTAGATGGATCTGGTCGCAGCTTGAGACTACATCTAAGGGTTCCCGTGTTCCGGCGTTCCAGGAACGCCGGCGTTCCAGGAACGCCGGCCAGGTTTGTCCAAAAAATATAATGTCCGTTTTGACGAAATCAACTCACTCTATACAAGAGAAAAGATTAGAACTCGCCGAAAATCTCGCACAACGGTAGCAGCTACCGTTGTGCAAGATTTTCAGCGAGTTCTAATTTTTTCTCTTGTATAGAGTGAGTTGATTTCGTCAAAACGGCCATATTAAAGCCAGAATCTGCTCTATGACAACAACTCACGGACTCCATGTTAGTGTTGGTGTTGCGCATTGAATCGTACGACAGTTCCACTCTTTCATACAGCACATCCACAGATCGCAGAGTCAATTCTACAAGACTACAACCAAACATCTTCCTACAGTGCCTAGCTTATAAAAAGTACAGCGTGCTACTACCCACTTACCCAGCCATACCTTCATGTCCAACACATGCAGACTCTGACTCTAACTCTAACTCTGACTCTGACTCTGACTCTGCAATGAGATGTCAACCACTTCACAACACAGGCTGGCCCTCTATATAGTAAAGAATGTATCACACCACCTTCTGCAGTAAGATGCACTTTGTTCGAGTAAAGAATGTATCACACCACCTTCTGCAGTAAGATGCACTTTGATGATCGAGTAAAGAATCTATTACACCATCTTCTGCAGGAAAATGCACTTACGTTTCTTTCATTTTCTGAGCAGTGTGGCGAGACCCATGATTGTCGTCTGAAGATGACAACGGCATCGTCTTGGCTCCTGCGGGTTACTCGATCCAGGAAGATAGCAAGCCTATGGCCAGTGGGGGCATTCATGGACCGCGTTTTTCTTTTTTTTTCCCTCAATATTTGACGGTCGTTGGACCCACAATCCTCGCGACTGTGTCCAAGTCAGCGGATTGTCTTTCTTGACTTCCGCTGCCGGTACTTTTTTTTTCTTTTTTTTTGTTCCGTGCTCATTGGTGTTCGTTTCGCGTGCTCCGTGCGGCGATGCAGCAGAAAAGAAAACAAAAACGAACTTGCCCCCTGGGGAACACTCGCAAATTTGTCTTTCGTTTCGTTTCGTTTCGTTTCGTTTGTGTGCCGTGTGGCGAGACGGCACACGAAACAAAAACGAAACGAGTGCATCTGCCCACGAAAGGTGGCAAAATACATTCGTTACTATCTATAGCAAACCGATCAACCTGGCCATTTTCTGCAGGAAGATGCAATCGTTTCGTTTTTCATTTCGTGTCCTGTGCGGCGACGCCCTAAAAGTGGGCACCATGGTAAGGGCCACGCCACACGGCAGACGAAACAAAAGCGACAAGAGTGCATCTGCCCACCAAAGGAGGCAAGATACACTAGTTTCGATTTATAGCAAACCGGTGAACCTGGCCACCTCCTTCGGGGGACATCAGTCGTTTCGTTTTTTGTTTTTTTTCCCCTCCCATACAAAAGGTTCCGTTCTATTCGTGGGGAGCAGCACGTGTTGGGAAACGGGCCCAACCTCCCTAAGTGATCACAATTGGGGCCGGGGTCCCCACAGGCTACCCGGGAAGAACAAAACATCCAGCGTATTCAGAGAAGTCAACTGCGATTGAGAGCACAGCTACAGTCTTCCCCCGAATACAAAGTACGGTCATTATAGCTGAATTTCGGGCATCTTTCAGTCTAAATTCAGCTATAATGACCATACGCTGTATTCGGGGGAAAAATAGGAGTGGTCACCTGCTGAAATGCAAAGGAGGATATCGTGAGGTTGACAGAAAGGTTGTTGGAGTCCTTCTCAGCATCAGCCTTCAGGCCCTCTCAGCACAAAACCGCTGTCTAATGGAACTTACTGAACGAGGCCTGATGGAGGGACTCAGCGAAGATCCCACAGTAGATCTGAGTAGAGTAAACCTACCTGATTCGGAAATAGTCGCCCATTGAAAAGGAAAAGTCCTTTTTTCCCGAAATGTAACTCTAGCCAAATCTGTAGAAGTCCGGCCTCAAATTATTTCCCAAAGAAATACGTGGTACCATTGGGGAAAAAAAAAAAAAAAAGGTGTGAAGCAGAGTTGTTCCTATTTTTTGTCCAGTCTGCCACGCAACGTTTCGTTTTTCGTTTCGTGTCCGTAACACACCTGTGTGTCGTGCATGGTGATGCAGATCTGGGAGCATTACCCAGTTTAACTTCGCAATTTGCAGACCACAGGGGGTCCGAGGGGAGGCAGAGCCTGCCCTCGGTTACGCTTACGCTTCTCCTAAGACGGGGAGTGGAAGCTGAGTTCCTTCGACCTGATATGGCACTCCTATGCCCCCACATACCCAATTTCTGCTGGCCTACCGAGGAGATCAACCGAGCAACCAGGTAGTGAAAAGAGGGCACATTTGCGGTCATAGGGCTTCTTTCGCCTCACCAATCACCAAATGCAAAACCGACAAAAATACGGTCGGTGTATTTTTCCACGTTCCAGCGGGAGACTCTACAGTCTCAACAATGGCACAGGTAATCTTGCATGCAAAGCGTACGATCTAAGCCGCCTCTTAAGCCGCCTCTTACAGCGCTGACTTTAGTTCCTCTACGTTTCTGGTGTTTTAGACTCTTTTCTTTCCCCGTTTTCTCCCTGTCTTTGTCCATCTCCCCCCCCCCTCTCTTTAATTGCCTTTGCACTCTTCGTCCCTTCTATTTCCCTTTCCGAAGTTTTGCGGATACAAGGGTTGTCGGCTTGTAGGCCCCTAGCATGATTCTGTCCGACAGGATTTGAGCTCCTGATCTGTTGTCTTTTTTCTTTCCATGTGATTTTCTCATTTCGTCCTAGGTGATAGACAGCTCCTAGGCAACCAGCCGGGCCGCCCGGGTCCCGGGTGGCCAGCCCGTGCAAGGACCAGGGAAGGTCCCAGCAAAAAAAAAAAAAAAATTAAAAAAGACCAAAAAAACTATGTTATGCAGAAAAATAAACTAAACAACTTTTGACTCAGGGCCACCTCAAAATTCTTCACCAAATTTAGAATAAGCATTAAAATTTAAAAATAATTTGTTTATTTTTATTTTTTTCGTTTTTTTTGGCCCGGCCGGGCAAGCGATTCCGAGCCACTCTGGTAGCCTAGGACAGTTCCAAATAATATTGAGTAGCCACACTTCTGCGGCAAGGCGAATGCTCAGCGATCGAGCTGGGTAGGACGTAATACCATCACAACAGCAGTCATGTCATCAATTGAGCAAACCTTCGCAAAGAGAGAGAGAGAGAGAGAGAGAGAGAGCTGGTCCGTTCCTATAGATCAATAGATAGATCAACGTGCCCGTTTATCATTGGCTCCGACCTTACCATTGCCGTCCCCATAAGTGACACCTGTGTCAAAGACTTGGAATCAGTACACGATCGACATATGCTAAATGAAATGAGAATAGAAGGAAAGATCTAATAAGAAATTATAAAAAAACACACTCAAATAATAATAAGAAAAAAGTTCAAGCTTGCTTCAAAAAGCCCGTCATAATCCAGCCCATGTCGCTGAATGGTTGAACTCATACTGGCAAAAGCGCATCATTACCCAACCCATGGTTAGCAGACCAGCAGACCTCAAGTAAAAAGTTTCATCGCTTTCTCACGGATTCCTGTCAAGAGATCTAACCTCGACAATCTGTCCACAGGATGCGTGACGGTTGATAGACGCCTGCTATCAGACAAACTGAACTCTCTCTCCCTCTCTCTCTCTCTGACTCCTCTCTCTCTCTTTCTGTGCGTTGGTAGGCCAAACGACACCACGCTGTAGAGCTAGGATACGGGCAGGATCAGCCCCTTATAGAACGCGCGTTTCTGCTGCGGTAGTCCTACCGTCGTCTGCTGCTGTAGTCCTACCCTCTTCACCCGAATAGAACGCAGGGTCATTGTAGCTGTATTTGCGGCAACTTTTAAGACTAGGCGCAGACATAACGACTGTGCGTTCCCGAGACAATAATAATAATAATAATAATAATAATAACAATAATAATAATAATAGTGATTGTGCATTGCATTCGGTTGAAGACGATCGTCCTAACAGAGAGTCGACCTCACTTCTTTACCAAAGACAAGGCTGAGCAACTTGTGCGTTTCCTCGAGTTTGCATGGCCCTCTTCTTTTTTGTCAATTGTGGCCAAATGGGCCACGGATCAGATATTAAACTGATCAGAACAGGTACACTACACTTGATCTCCGCCAAATGGCCGAGAAAAATATACTTGTCAACTTTTTTCTTTTTTTCTTTTGCTATATGCACTTCTACAAAAAGTAGCAATGCATGCCTGTATCACAGCTGCGTTGAACGTCCACAGAAACAACAGAAACTTTCGACAGCCTCTCCGCTCAGCATTAGCCTTCTACTCTGACGTTTCAGCGAGCGTACAACCACGTCAACTCTGCAACCTAGTACACTGTCCAGTTGGCCCAAAGATCAGTCCATCATAAGCCATTCTGTGTTTGTGCGCGTCTTTCTGTCGCTGTGAGCGTACATCCGTCTGAGCAGGTTCATAGGTTAGGAGAAGTCAAACTGGCACGAAGTCAACGTTTCACGTGGAATTAACCCTCACCACCAATGTCCCAAATAGAAAAACAACCCGATCCGACGTAACCCTCACCACCAATGTCCCAACTCCCAAATAGAAAACCAATCCGATCCGACGTAACTCTCTCTCTCTCTCTCTCTGTGTGGTTCGGCCTCGTGTCTTCGTTGAGTTGGTTACTTCATAACATAGTGCGTTCGAAACTGGAAGAACGACAGGGTTAGTACATACTACACACAAAACACAGGAAAGGAAGCCCGAAGGTGGCATGATGAACAGGTAAGAAAAGCGAAGAAGGAGAAACAAGAAAGGGAAACGTAGAGAGGAAGCCGTAGAAAGGAGAGAGGTAAGGGTGAAAAGCAGGAGGCGAATAAGAGGAACAGCTCAAAGACTCGTGAATTAACGAGTCAGAGAGTAGAACTAGCATCGATCACAACCGAATCTCTGTTTATGGAGGCTGCACGTATGATCCCCAGAAGCACCGTCCTCCAGCGGTTACTTCCTTCAAAAAAATGAAGGGGCAAACAAAAAGAGCCGACGCTGACATAGAAAAGGGGTTTACGTTGACGTAGAAAGGAAGAGGTAAAAAAAAAAAAAAAAAAAACGAAGAGGAGAAACAAAAAGTGGAGACGAGCAAACACAGACTTCCAACATTACAAAACAAAAAGTAAAAGAAGAAATGAAATGAATGAACTGAAACAGCGAGGCCAATCGCTATGCGTCCATGTCTTAATGATGGACACTGAAGCACCTAAGAAGAATGAATAGTGTAGAGCGAAGACCAGCCGCTTGCAACAGACGCAGAAAATGAGACTGTCGAGAATGCGGAAGAGACGAAAGGGAAAATTTGACAAAAGAAAAAAAGCAAAAGAGTAAGAACTGATCGTGGAACAACGAACGATATTAATCGGATATGGGTTTCCGTCTTTTTTTTAAAGATTGGACAAGAGAGAAGTCCTTCAGGACAGCGATAGATTGAGAAGAAATTAGAATGGCCCCGCGAAAGGACGACACATCGCGTAAATTAAAAAAATGGTCCAAAATTAGTCAAAAACAAAACAGGCAAGGAAGAAAGAACGAACGAACGAAAGAAAGAAAGAACGAATGAATAAGATAAGATATTTCTGAAATTTATTTTTCATGTACTGGAAGAAAAAAAGAAAAATTTATTTTTCATGTACTGGAAGAAAAAAAGAAAAATTTATTTTTCATGTACTGGAAGAGAAAAAATAGAGAAGGACGGGCGCATGAATACGAGATTATACATATTCACTGTATTTATTTTCTTCTCAGCAGGCGTTGTCCTTGGCTCTTCTGACAAGGACAACCACTGCAGTGTTTTTTATTTTTCTTGTCCTTGGCTCTTCTGACAAGGACAACCACTGCAGTGTTCTTTATTTTTCTTGTCTTTTCAAAAGAAACAAGGAGCTGGCTCCTAGTATATTATCCTATTCAACGGCTTATTGTCAGGCTTTGAGCTCGTGATCTGTTCAACAGCAGTTACAATGTGTGAACCCCCTTCTACTGATCTCCACATCTGACATCAGTAAAGAGGACTTAAGCTCACGATCTGTCCATCAATACGTAAACATGTGTACCATTCAGCTGCACTGGGTGGGCTGCATTACAGTAATAMTTTGAGTTCTTATTCTTGATTTGACATTCCCTCCACTAAAGTTGACTTAATGTCACGATCTATCCAACGATCTGTCCATCAATACGTAAACATGTGTACCATTCAGCTGCACTGGGTGGGCTGCATTACAGTAATAATTTGAGTTCTTATTCTTGATTTGACATTCCCTCCACTAAAGTTGACTTAAGGTCACGATCTATCCATCAACAAGTAAACATGTGTACCACTCAACTGCACTGGCCCACTAGGTATTCTTCATTCGACATTCTCTCCACTCTCAAATGTTTTAGATTCTCCCCAAAAAAACAGAAACGTTTTAGATTCTCCCCAAAAAAACAGAAACATGTTTTAGATTCTCCCCAAATAAACCAAAAAAAAAAACAGATTTTCCTTGTTTCCAGACGACATTGGAGCGAGGAGTCGTTTCGCAATTAACGTACAAGCGCACTCACACGGATTGCGTTCGAAGGTACTTTCAGGTCGCGACTGAACCTGGCCTTGATCGAGTACATTAGGTAGTTTTTTCCGAAGTGTAATGGAGGTTTGTCATCAATTTTCGAATCGACAAACAGAAAAGGCTTTCTACTGTGCGAGTATATTCTGTATGGAAATCCTCACAATCACAACATACTCCTCCACCAACCCGACCCGAGCACAATTAACACCACCTCCTGTTGCCATATTCACCCTCACTACGAGCAGCTCTTCACTGCAAGACGAACCACAGGACCAAAAAAAGAAATAGAGGCCACACCACTACAGCGGTGGCGCTTCTCTCAATACATTGGTACATCGGACCGGGGCCGAGGTCCCACTAGCAAAAGGGATAGGATCGAGCTCCTGAATCTGGATGTGTTTTAAGCAGAAATGCAGAAAAGCAGTTCAATCTCGATTTCCTGCACATCTCCATAAACTCGTCCAGATTCAGGCATTCAATCCGATCCTCTTTGCTAATGGGACCACGCCCCGGAACAACACCCGCCTTCACTGTTCACGGTGAGATAAGTTCCACCAAGTGTGCGGCGGGGGGGGGGGGGGGAGAGGAAGGAGGGGAATCAAGCAAGTCAACTGAAGATCGCCCGAGCGAGCATTTCATTCATGATTAGCTGAAAGAGTCGCACAAGTACAGGTCACAAGGTAAAGGAAAAGAGATGCACCGACAGGACACCGGAGAGGAGCAGGAGGACGAAAAGGAGGGAACAACCTCTGACAAACTGAAAGAAGTCCTTGACGACAACCGTTAGAATCGGAAGAATCAAATTAATTGGGCCACACGATATTAAATTCATTTTTCAGGGCTACGGAGGGGTCATACGAGTAGGCTTGCCTACTCGACCCTTCCAGCGTTGCCTTCGTATTGCACTGCTGCAGAGCGCGGCGCGGCCCATCAAAAAAAAAATAAAAACAAATGGAAGAATAGACAAAAGAATAGCATGGTACCTGCGCATTTGAAAACAGGAAAAAACAAACATAACGAAAGACAAAAAGAAACGAAGAAAGAAGAAAAAAGCGAAGAAGAAACAAAGAAACGAAAGAAAGCAAAAAAACGAAGAAAGAAGAAAGAAAGAAACGAAGCAAGAAACGAGGAAAGAAAGAAAGAAAGAAATCAAGAATGCAAGAAAGAAAGGAAGGAGGTCAAGAAAAGCACCAACGAAAGAACATCTCCGCACAATGCAGTAACGCACCTTGACAATAGCCCCGATGCGGGTACGCCACACGGCTGGCCAGCTACCGGTATCATATACACTGCGGCTACAGCTCCACGAAATTTTGCCCCCCCGCTAATCCTCAGCTGCAGGTGGTGATTGATGCCTCTCCTCCTCTCTTCCTCTCGAAAGTGTCGGCCCCAAGAAGAAGACCGAAGTCCGAACCTACCGGCAGGTAGGTAGGGTACGTAAGTAGGAGGTACTCACAGAAGCCGCGCACTCTGGACGATGTCGATCTCGCGCAGTAAGCGCACGCAATAACATAGCCTGCGCTCCGCTCTGCTGAGCGCGCCTGTTCACCGCTCCGGCTCTCCTTCTTGGTGCCCTGTCCGGGTCAGTGGCTCTACAAGGGAGAGCCGAAGTCGACGCCCTACTCTATCTACTTCGCAGTTAGCGCACTACAAGGCTATTGCAGAGCTGAAGTCGGCGACCTACTCTACTTAGCAGCTGGCGCACTACTGGCTATGGCACACATTCGCGAAGCAGGAGAGAGCCACCTCTCTCTCCCTCCCTCCCTCCCTCTCTCCCTGTTATCCTGTCGCCGATCGCGAGCAGCACTGCCAGCGCTCTCGGTCTTAGCGCCCGATCGGTTCGGTCGGCAGTTCCAAGGGAGAGAGAGCTGAGCGCGACGGCTTAATGCGCACTACGCAGCTAACTACAGATATCGCCGATGGCCCGACGCCTTACTATAGCAGTAACTACGCAGCTACTCTAGCGGCTTAGCGCACTCCGGCGGGTGGCATCCCTCTCCTTTGTCAGCCAGCTTAGTCAGAGTCAGCTCTCTCTCTCCTGCGACTACCGTCTACCGTACCGCAACGCCCTCGCCTTTTTTCACAACGCCCTTGTAGTAGCCCTCGCCTTTTTTTACAACGCCCTTGTAGTAGCGGGAGACAACAACAAGGGCCTCGTTGCACTACTCGCCATCCGCCAACATCTTAATTGCATGTGGACATCATGTTTGTCCAGACGCATTCGAATTCTTGGCGGATGGCGAGCAGAGCAACTAGGGCCTAACGAGCAGTACTTCCAGCAAGTGGTTGGGGACCGCGAAGCGCGAACTCCGACAAAACTCACCTCTACCGCAGAGCCTGCCAAGGTAGAGCGCAAGAAGAGCCGCGCGGTATTCGCCTAACGGCACCGCGGAGTGGCGGAGTTGCGATTCCGCCTACGTAAGACCTACTACAACACCGTGCGGCGGCAGTCATCGTAGGGCCTCGTTCCACTACCCTCGACTTGAAAATATCTCAAGGGCGGCGCCGTTCCACTAGGCCCTTGACATCTGCTAATCACAATGGAATGTGATTAAGCTTCCCGCCTGAAGAAAATCCCGCTCAGAGACTCGAGGGCGGCCGTAGGGCGCCGAGGCAACTTGGGCCAATTTTCAAGTCACCTCCCAGAGGTGACTTGAAAATTCTTGGAAAAGGCCGCAATATGCGTGGCCAGGCAGCAGTTCAGCCCCCCCGTCCGGTCCTTCTCTTTTTTTTTTTTTTTTTTTTTTGCCAATCGCAGTTGTCGGGCCCCAGGGATGGACCTGGGTTGTGAAAATTCGGTGACAAACAGGGGTGCACATTTTCCCGCTCGTTTTGGGAGCGGGAACTGCAGGGTGTAGTGGAACGCCGACGACCTCTAGTACTTTTTAATTACGTTTTTGAGTCAACGGCGCCCATAGGGCTGCCCTTGAGATTTTTTTCAAGTCGAGGGTAGTGGAACGAGGCCCGTATTCAAGCCATGGGGGGGCGCCAAAACAATTAAAAAAAAAAAAAAAAAACATTTTTTTTGGGTTGGTTTTGTCTTTTGCTGCGAGAGCACCCCGCCTACGAAGGGGCCTCGAGATACATCACTGAACTGACTGGCCGCAGGTGATTCAGAAAGAATTTATTGCATCTGGGGCCCAGCTCCCACTACAGTAGCAAAGAGGATGAATCTGGAAGTGTTATGGAAGAGATGCGGAAACGCAGTACAATCTCGATTTTCCGCATCTTTTCAGCACATACGTCTAGATTCAGGCGTTCGATCCAATTCTCTTTCGTATGTATAGTGGGACCTCGCCCCGGATTCGAACTTGGGTCTTGGCCTCGCACCAGCGTGCGGGCCCAGCAATGCGCGCCACGGAATGCCTTCGGTTTGAGGGCATCGCCACACCACTCTCGAAATGCGCAGAATTAGAATGAACTTCGCGCTAGGACATGGCCAGATGCAGCCGCCACATTTTTGTCTTTTTCACATTTCGAGATTGGTGCGGTGAGGCGAGTCCATGATCGGGCGGCTGGCCGGGGCTCGGTCCCACTTGCACGAATTAAGAGATATTGACCGTAGATAGCAAAGATCAACGGCCGAAATCTCCTAATTTGCGCAAGTGGGCCCTTGCCCCCGCTTAGGAGTGCGAGCGGGACATGCCGGCTTTTATACCCTGGAAAAGAAGCACGCGGACGTATTTTCCCGCTACGGGGGGAGGCAATCCCAATAGCTTCGGAAGGATGTACGTGGACGTATTCCTCGGCAAGTGGAGAGAGCGTTTGAGGGCATTCCTCGATTGAGAGTCAGCGATTGAGTGGTCCGCAGACTACGGTACCTTCCTCAGCGATTGAGTGGTCCGCAGACTACGGTACCTTCCTCCGGAGAATGTAATGCCCCATCTATAATGAACGCATGCAAACGCTGTTGGGGTCCAAATTCAGTCATGATGCGGGGCCCAAATCCCACTAACAGCATTGAGTTTCCCCAACGCCTGAATCTGGACGCGTTTGTGGAGAACTGTTAGAAATCGCTTTGACTTTCGTCAACCGCACATAGCGACAAACACGTCCAGATTCAGGCGTTGACGAAACTCAACGCTGCTATCGGTAGGTAGTGGGACTTGGCCCCCGGGGCATTCTGCTCGGGGTTAAGAAGATACGCCCCAGTAGTGCTATCTAAATTCCTGCCTTTTTTTCTAATTATTATGAAATCAACCTACCTAAAATCCCGCTATGAAGGCACGAACCTGGCCCTCAAAGCGGCTAGATGACCCCAGGTCAGTGTTAGCTTAGCAGACACGTGGACAGTGGGGTGGACCCCTGAGTATGCTCCGGCACTGGCAGATTCCCTTTCCTATTCGTTTTTTTTTCTTTCCGTTCTTCCTCCCCCTACCGTCTTCACCCCAATAGAACCCCAGGCCATTATAGCTGTATCTGGAGCAATTTCCAGTCCAGATGCGGCGATAATGACCGGGCGTCCTATGCGGGTGACCCGTTCTTGTCTATTGTCGGGGGCGCGGGGAGGGGGGGCGGGGGCCAACTAGACTTCTTTGACTGGAATCCGGCGGCACTACCTTCTTACTCCCCCGAACACAACGTACGGTCATTATAGCTGTATTTGGGTCATCTTTCAGTCTCAATACAGCTATAATGACCGTACGTTGTATTCGGGGGAACCAGGGTAGCCGCCAGATAAATTCAGGAACGTAAATACTTAGCCGAGCGCAACACGTTCATGTCGGATGGATGAATCTGGTCGCGATTGCCAGAAGATATGAAATTCCAAGCTTGAGAAATATACTCAAGCCAAGATAGGATAGAAAGATAGGAAATTCCTACTATCTGTAGTAGTTGCCGTGGATTTTCACTTTCTTTTTTTTTTTTTCTTTTTTTTCTTTTTTGAGAACAATAGAACTTTTTCTTGCACAAAAAAACGGAAGGTACGGGGCCGGGAAACCCCACAAAATCCCGCAATCAGCTCCTGGGAAACCGGATCCAGTGTCCCTTCTCCGAAAAGTTCCCCGAAATAGAAAAAAAAAAAAAAAAAAAAAAAAGTACAGCCTAATTCCTTGCCGACCACCGCCTGAATTTTCATTTTCGCCAAGATAGGCAAATAAGAAATTCCGTACTTCGAGATACGAAGATAGCATTTCCTATCTTAGGCAATGGAATTCCTATCTTAGAGCATGGAATTGCTATCTCAGTGTATGGAAACTCCTATTGGACAGAATTTTCTCGATTTACGCGTGTCATGCTTGCGCAGGGATGGGGTGTGAACCGACAGTCTGTAGAGTTTTCCATCTGGTGTGGGTGAGTGATAGTCTACTTTGATTTTGGTTAAGGTAGATTATCATTTACAGTGTAATCAGTGAGGGGATTCTGCAGACTGTCGAGGGTTCAGCCTCCTGATGAGTCGGTGAAACTCCGACGAAACAGTTTGTCACAGCCCCTCGTTTGTTGTCCTCTTCTCTCTCTCTGCCTACGGTTTTACCGGGCAGTTCTGTTTGTGACGATATATATATATATATATATTCTCTGTATTTTTTCTTTTTTAGAAATTATCGTTCCAATTTTAACGGATGTCCCTGAAGGACTATTGGACAGAATTTCAAGACTCTGAGGTAGGAAATTCCTACTTGCCTGATTCTTCACCTCTCCTTTTCGCTGGCCTTCTGTTTTCGTCCTTCTTGTTTTTTCCCTTTTTTTCCTACTTTTTTCATTTTTACTTTTACCTTATAGCACTTCCGACGTTTCTCGATGTGTGCGTCGTGGCAGCCTTGCGCAGAGGCCATGCTAATCATCTCTGTATAGTTCCCATTTCAACGGCTCCGATGTCCTAAGGGATGGACTCTTCATGTCTGGCAATCGAATTTTTCTATCTTTTCTTTTTTTTTTCTTTTTTCTTTTTTTTTTCTTTTTTTTTAAACAAATCTGGCTCCTTCAAAGGCGGTACGTTCTTCAGGACGTACGGTTTGAAGAGTTTGAAACAAAGGGCCTCGTTCCACTACTCACCACATGCAGATATGGCGACGTATCTTCCCACGTTCTAGCGGAAGATGCATTCTCATTTTGACCATTTGGTGACAATGGTGAGCAATTGAACGAGGCCCAAGGAATTAGGTAAGCGGGACTTCGCCCGCCCCGACGGGTCCCACATGCGGCGGAGCCGCAAATCTTGTTGCAATTTTTTCAATTGGCAAATTTGGCGGGAAGGATGTAATGTCGGGAAATTTCAACTGTCTCGTGCGAGAAATTAGTTTTTTTTGTTTTTTGTTTTTTTTTTGGAAAAGGGCAACCTTCGTAGTACAGTATTTTGCAAAGCTTGCTCTTCAGGAAATGGCGCCAACTTTTCTCCAGGGGCGCAGTCCCACTAGCAAAGAGGATTGGATTGAACGCCCGAATCTGGACAGGTTTGTGCAAAGGTGCAGAAAATTGAGATTGAACTGCTTTTCTGCATCTCTGCTGAAAACAAGCCCAGAT